CCCCAAAACCCCAAAACCCCAAAACCCCAAGCTATATAATATATATTGAAGCCATTATGGAAATTTAGTCATAAGGTCTTTTCCTAGCTATATGTCTTTCTTAAAATATCCCTAGAAATCTCAAAAATAGCTTACCTTTAAAATATGCTTTTTTGTACCAAAACTTGTCATTTCCTTCCTAATATTATACTGAGAGATCTTACCTCGGGTCTTGAAGGCTCTGGACTTGGTTGACATGCCTAGAGACTCTCCTTGAAACATCTATATTCTTTCCATTCTTGGAATATGCAGGAGACATGTTAGGCTGGAATAAAATATAAGGATCGCCAATCTTTGCTTCTTCAACTATGGGGTTAAGGACATGGATACTTGAGCTGCGTACTCCATCAGATTCAGGGTGATTCATTATCTTCTCTACTGAATCACTATCTTTTTCTACAGCATTAAGCCCATATTCTTACCTATTATACTCTCTAATTGTCTTGTTCTTTTGAAATGGCCCTTCTCAAGAGCGTGTAAATTTTCAAGTCTTGACAAAAATAATTTCTGGTGCTTTCGGTCCACTAGATCCTCCTCAAGATGGTCTTCTTGGACTAATCTTTTACTCTATAATATTCAACTTAAGTTGGAAGTGAAGTTAAAAATGAAGGTCCAAATTTGCAATGTTTTCCATGGTTAACATGCAGTAGCCTCCAAAGGTGGTAGAAGCATACTCCATTTGTAAGTTCAGTGATTATGCAGCCTACAGTATTGGCTTCACTCATTAAGCTGAGTTTTAACTAATAACTAGTTGAGCGCCCGAACAGATTATCATCTCTTGATTAAATTGGGAGCAAATTATTTTCACAATCTCAAAAAATTTGTATCACACATAAAGATTCTCTGAATCTTTGAAAAATGTTGTTATAGGGAATCCAGAATCTCTCAAAGAAAACTATTTGAGTAATCTGGATCTTAAGGCTTCATGAATATTCATTTAATTACTCTGATTCCCTCTGGATAATTACTGTAATTTTCCACCCTTGATGACGAAATCTCGCCCTGAATATCAAAGGCCTACAACTAAAGGTAACAAAAGGACTAGATGTTAGCATTTTTGGTATGATTTGTACATATTGTGGTCCATATGATGGAATAAAGTCCTTTTGCTTGTTTAGAGCATATCCAAATGTATTGCATGCTTTGATTAAAGGTAGTCAGCTAGTTAAAATGCATATAACATGGTTATCTTATTATAGAGAGTTTACTAGAATTTAGTCTTACCGTCTGGTCTTCCATGAAAATTATTTCTGCATCTGTAAGTCAAAGGTTAGGCTGTCCAGCTCCTTAGCTGGTGCGAGGGTAGCGGGAATGGCTAATTTCGAAAGGATTTGTAAAGGTGTCTCGAAGCTTACCGTTCTCTTGAAAACCAGGATGGCTCTTTTTAGGGCTAGAGTGATCAGACTAGGGCTTACAGAGCTTTATTGGTCTTATACTTGCGTTTTTTGGTGGGTCTTTGTGATCTTTTAGGTCTTTTTGGTCTAGAGTTTTAGCACAAAAATAAACCTTTTCCTTTTCGTAGCTTCAGGACAAGACTCTTGTTTATCAGTTTGAAGAGTGGGATGACAGCCTAATAGGTATAAAGAAGTTCGTACCTTCTGGTCTCTGGAAAGTGATATAATAAAGAATCTCACCAGCCTATTTAGTGAGGATTGGGTTCTTACCTTCTTGAAGAAACTGTACTTTGTGCCCAGATTGTCGAATAAGAGATGAGTCCATTTTAAGATAAAGATAAGGTTGAACGCGATCATAGCTACTAGAAGAACGTTGTTGATGGATTTTAAAGTGTCTTTATGATTAAAAATCATTCCTCAGCAGAGAGTGATAATTCCTATGTTTACTCCAAAAATTTCAACTTCATTGTTTAGTCTGTATTTGTATGGCTGTAGGAATGTCTGGATTCTCCAGGTTATCAACAGTACCAAACAAGAGAATAGGATCTTAGAGTAATCTGGAAGAAGGAAGGATAACAAGATTAATATCTTTCTTGAACTATTAACAAATTCCCAATAAAACTGCTTAGTATTTAAACCTTGATAAAGTATCAAGAAGTATTGTCCAAGCTTGTTATCCTCTCCTGCCTTGTAAACCTTTTTATACATAACTATAAGTGCAAATAAAGGCACTGAAATGACCCAGATGATGAAGATTGGAAGACCGAGGATCATTCACCATTTCAAGTGCTCAGACGAATAGCATCCGATATCTGTATCTATTCTTGCTTTTAAAACTCCTTCGTCGATCTGGACTCATCTGAAGAGATTGATGCTTTCTTGAGCAAGCTTTGGGTGCAGAAGGAACAATATACTGATAAATGAAATAATGAGATTTCGTGTGATGTTGAGTACCCATCTTCTTTTTGTGTAGTAAACTATTACCCATATCAATGCAACTCATAGGAATATTGCAAGTGGAAGCCATATGATCAGGAACAATTTCAAGAAGATTGATGAGGGAAATGGGCCTTTAATTTCAGAATCCATCACAAATCAGTCAAATGACATAAAGGCTTCTGATGAGTTTCCAACAGTTTCTGCAGGAATCAAAATATCACTCAAAGTTCCTGGATATTTGGTACTGAACGAGATGCTCAAAGTGAGGATTTGGACATAATTGGTCAGAATTCTTAGTAATATAGATATCTGACTTTCACTGGTTTTTCTTACATTGACAATGATAATTACCATAAAGTATGCAAATACAGCCATTCCAACAAATAATACTCTCATTGCGTTGAGGATAGGGTTTGGTCATTTCTGTCATACAAAGTTTCCAACAGCCTGATACTTATCATTTCCATTGACACTTCACTTGGTGCAAAGATTGCCTTCGTAGCCTGTTGCTCAGTTTGTAGGGTTCTCCATTGATTCTACATAGCCACCATCTCAGGCTTCTTTATTGATACATTCAATGATTGTGGTTGAGTTGGATGATGCTCTCCAGTAGCCAGGGTTCACATTGATCTCCTTACCTCCAGCACAAACTACATCGTCCATGCACTGATGGCACTGAGTGCTGTTCCAAATTAGTGAGTAAGTTCCAGCAGCTCATGTTGTTCATAAATTATTTAGAATTTGTTCTCCAGGCTGACAGAACCTGAAGCCAACTTCAATAGTGTTGTTGCTGATTTGATTTCCAAACACTGTACTAATCAGTGACTTATCAATAGCTTTTGAAGTTGCTGTCAAAGTGACTCCTATTTGCCCCGGATCAGAGTTAACAACAAAGTTATCAAAGCTTGCCACTCCGTGTACAAGAGGTTGAGTATTGAATCCTTTGACTTCAGCAACAGTGGAGTTATTTGAAACTATAGAAACTTGGTTAAGACTGTCCAGAACCATTATTTGGTTGTCATAATCTTCCATTGCAAATCTAAGAATTTCATCATATGCAATTCCGGGCCCAAGGTTATCAATCTTCATTTGGTTAGAGAATGTATCGTTGAAAATAATTTTAACAGCATAGCTTGCTATATTTTGACCGTACTGAGCGGAGTTACTGGAGTACTCAATGTTTTGTCCAAAAGTAGGTCTTTTGTAGTTGTAGTAAATTGCTCCTCCTTTCCTTGTAGCATTATTGCTCTCAAATTTTGAGTCTGGAATGTTCAGATTACACAGAGTCATCGATGAACATGTAAACGAGATTGCTCCTCCATCACTTGCAGTGTTATTCATAAATGTATTGTTGCTCAAAGTCACATCAGAGTTGACTATGTAAATGGCACCTCCATTAACTTTAGATGCTCCTCCATTACTTTCCAATATAGAGTTATTAATTGACTCAACAGTGCTTGACTCAATGTAAAGTCCTTCTGTACAGTTCTTCAGCTTCATATTCGTAATTGATGTTATGTTAGAGCTTAAAATTTGAAGCCCACTATACTGTGTGTTTTCAAACTGGACATCTGACAAGGTGATGTTCTGGGATGACTCTATTCTGAACAAATTCTTTTCTGACACTTCAGAAAGTGTAGATATAAGCTTAGAGATAGAGCTATTGTATCATTCTGAGATGATCCCAAGTTCTTCAGCATTACTTATTGTTTCATACGTAAGTCCCTGAATAGTAGCAGCTGAGCTTCTGATTCTAAACATTATAGAAGTTGAGTTCGTAATCGAGACTGTGCTATCTAATGCATCAAAGATATAGTCTGATTGATTGTTCATTGTAAAATCTTGAACAGTCAAATTATTTAATGTCATGGTTGAGGAAACTCCTCTTATAGTAACACCTCCGGTTGTGAAGTTTTTAATCACGATATCAGATACTTCAAGTGTGGATACAAATGAATCAACCACTAATGGTTCGTTCAAAACCTCTGAGCCTGCTGTTATTGATAATGATGCAAATATGAGCTGGAATTGATATTCATTAGGCACTTCGGATATTTCAGCTTGAAAGTTTGTATTTGAATAATCAATAAAGTTCTGATTTATAAAACACAAGAGAGAGCAGGAATCAAATTCTGAAGTGAGATTTGCCTTTGAAAATACATTATTTGAGTATATTTTGGCATTTGAGATCAACGACACCTTAGCTGTATCCAATAATTGTGAAACAGGATTGACATTGGCATAGTTGTTGTGAATATAACTATCATAGATTTCAAATTGGCCATTAGATACAACATTTATCACACCACTTGTAATTGCGAAGTTGTCTGTGATATTTCAAGAATATATCTTAATGATGCTTTGCTCCTTCACATTGAAGACTCCTCCATTGAGTGCATAATTGTTCTCAAATGTGGAGTTATGGATCGTTGTAATAGTACTTCTTGATCCTCCAGTAAGTACACCTCCATCCTGATAAGTGAACATGTCTCTGAAGCTTGAGTCTGAAATATAAACTCTTCCTCCTTGTAAAACATTAAAAAATGATGCTTCATTTTGCTGGATTTGACTTGCAGTTATATTTTTGAGATAAACATTCGTAAGCAGAGCAGTGTTCTCTATGTTTGAGGAAGCAATGTTGATGATTCCCTTCTGGATATTTGAGAACCTCGAGTTGGATATTGTGAGGTTAGTTGGAAGTTGCTGATCAAGATCCAGTAAATTACCTCTGCTACTGAACAAAATCCCACTGAAAGAGAGATTATCAAAATTGAGAGATAAGTCAAGATTGTACTCTATTCCCTCAGTTTTGATTATTGAACTCTGGCTGGAAAACTCTCAGTTGGTAAATTCCATATTCCTAAAGTTAATCGCCTTTGCTGTTGGTGGGGTATTTACAAAGGTAGGCATTGATACAAGAGTAATAGAAGAGTTCTGATATTGGACTCCTGATATTTCAATATCCCCTGTAAAGTTCAGATCGACTTGTGTAACAACAATAGAAGCAGTATCAGAACCAACAGAATTATAAGAAGAGACATTGTTGAATATAAGAGTGCTAATAGCCAGCTGTTTTACACTAGAAATCTGAATGAAAGAAGAACCTGTTGCATATTTGCGAACATTACTGAACGTAAGCTCACTGAATTCCAGATTAGGAACAGGGTCATTGGTTGTGAACGATCTAGAAATTAGCAGAAATATAGTTACATAAAACTCTGCTTTAGCAAGTCTGAATCAGTCAATGATATATTATTGAAAGTTCCTCTTTCAACCGGGTTGTTCACAAAATTTATCATATTTCCAATAGGAGCCCCACTCCCTGTATAATTCTTGACGTGAATTCCTGACATTATGCAGATGTTACAGTAAGGAATACTGAAAGAGTTGTATGCATTTCCAGATGAATCTATTGTAATTAAAGCAACTTACCTTGAAATGTAAGATTTCTTATAATTCAATGGTTCCTAAAACAGGTTAGATCTCACCTATTTCACTTACCTCCTTGTATCATTACCAAGTTTGAAAGTGTTTGATAATCCTTGAACACAGAATCGGTGAACTTAAAGACATCAGCTGCATTTGCCTGTAATAAGAAGTAACTCAGCTGAGCCCTATAAGCATTTTCCAATATGACATTTCTCAAGTTTATCTCGGCCTTTCTACCATTGACCGTTGCTATAACCACACCAATCAAGTTGATGTTGGCCTTTTGTTCGTTGCCAGGAAGAGACATGTAGACTGTATCGACATCAATAGTTTTGATGAGGTCGTCCTTCGGGTCTCAATACACATCAGGAAAGACCAAAAATGTACCTAAAGGGTTTGCAGTTAGCCCATAAACATCAGAGATGTTAAAGTTAGTGCAAGTCACATTTCCAGGCCCTGCATAATAAAATACATTTGGTCTGAAGCTAGTGAGTTCATCACTTGATACAAATGCTGTGAAATTGTTCGCATAAAAAGAAGGGGTGATGTGAGCCTCTGGATAATTTCACCATGGGAAAAACATGAACCCTGATGCTACATTCCAAGTATCTACGTAGAGGTTCTCTATGTAGATGTTAGCAGGGTCTCTGGTATTCACAATGTGTCCTGTCACATAAAACTCCATATCACCTAAGATTATTAGTAAAGAAAGCTATTTACGAAAAATTCAAAAGATAAGCTTACGCAGTGTGAAATCACGATTCTGAAGATATAAGAGATATATAAAATATCCTTCAGTCCAAGACTTAGCAACTCTCCTAGCAATGATATGGGTCATTTCAAATGAACTTCTAATGATATGGAACCCATCGCCAGTTCTTCCTGCAGTGTCAAGCTCGTAGTCTGTAAAATTTCCACCAGATAAGACACTCACAATATCCAATGTAGCATTTTTCATAAGATGGAAGGCAGCCTTTTGGCTGATCTCATTTACCGAGGAATCTGTGGTAGTAATGGTAGCCATCCCTTGAGAAGTGTCAGCATCATTGTAGCTTGATATAAACACTTTTGTAATATTGATAATATAACTTGTGGAGTCTTCAATAAAAGTATTGGTGTTTTCCATAATATAAATACTTATGTTATAATCTTTGTGTGAATGCTGTTTCAAAATTTCAGCAAACACAGGCTTTGCAGTCCTGTAAGGATAAGTCTTAGTCCCCAATTCCATGATCTCCTGGCTTTCAGGGTTTATGTAAAAATTGAAATTTCTTCAAAAGTTTTCAAGAGCGAACTGATTTGAATCAGATATAGTAATTTTTCCCGGGTCTCAAGAGCTTTTGCAAACCAGAGTATCTAAGTCTAAGAACTCAGATGGACTGCAAGTGAAGCATTTCTGCTGGTAAGCACAAAGCCCAATACAAGAGGTACCTCAGCTAGTACACTGGCTTAAGGTATAATCATAGAATTCTCCATCAGGACAATACTCTCAAAGGCCTGATATTGAATTCTTCACCATTGACTCTAAAAAATTTAAAACCCAGAGGCTTACCTTCTCATTGAGTGCATTCTGTAGCATTGCTTCATTCTTTGCAGGAACTGTGGCACATCGTGCATTTGCTTCCATCTTGGAAGAAACCTGGATCTCATGTAAGAGCAGCTTGGATTGCCAAACTAATGACTATCGCTAGAGCGCCAATCTTCATATTTATTATATAAACTCAATTTATTTTTCTCTAACTGGGGTTTTGGGGTTTTGGGGTTTTGGGGTTTTGGGGTTTTGGGGTTTTGGGGTTTTGGGG